TGTTGACTGGGCAACAAAAACCAGACATGAGCTTGTAGTAATATGGTTGTGGGTAAGTCTCATAGCCGCTTTAATAAAATATCAAATTCATCGAAAGAATCCTTCATACATAGTGTTTGGCCCAGTAAAGGTGTGGGCACTGAACACGAACAAAGACAAGCGGCTAGGATATGGGAAGGAGGAGGGATAGAAAACAAAACCGCCTGCGATTAAATTGGAATGACACTCGGTCTCACGTGGCTTGGCTAGTCACGTGACCCCCGCGCAGATGTTTATTCCAATCTACTCCTCTCCTATGTAATAAGCCACTGATAAATTACAAATTACTTATATTAAACTGAAATTAAAGACATAAAAATCCCATTTGCAAGCAAATATTATATTTTTTGTTAGAACCATTTTCATAAGAACATTGAGGCTGAGTTTGAACCAAATTTTACAAACATGCTTAGAAACTCGCAGATTGAGAGTCACTGGAGGAAGTTAAGAACAGGGTGAATTCTGGTAAAATGTAAAACTTTGGTCTATACAGTCCAATAATAAAGTACTTTTAAGGTCGATTTTCATTAACACATTACTGATAAATCTAATGGACAATTTTTTTTTACAACAGCAATTATAGTCAAACTACGGCCCTGTCCACACTACGCCGGAGAATTAAATTTGAAAACGCAGCTTTATTTCCTCGGTCAGGCCTGCTGTCCACACTAATCTGTCACGAAAACGAAGCTTTTCGAAAACGCTGTTCAAACCGGAGCAATTTGAAAACGCCGGCTTTGCGTTTTAGTGTGGGCGGAAACCGTTTTTGAAAGCGAAGATTTTCGAAAACGATGGCGTTACGATAATCATGTGATTTTCCTGCCCGAGTTTTCAAATCCAAAATGACCGGTGACTGTTGCGTTTTCAAATTCTCCGGCGTAGTGTGGACAGAAAACATTTGATGCGCGGTTTTCAGAACGAAAACGTCGTTTTCTAATTTCTCCGGCGTACTGTGGACGGGGCTAGGTCATAAATACAAATAAAAATTGACTCGAACTTGACTTAGGCTGCGATATAACTCCTCCAAAAGTAAGAGCCAATCGACATATTACATGAATTGATATGAATTTATAGAGAAAACAATATTTCGGGATACTGACCCCGTCGAGGGGTTGTTCCACCACTGTCAAGGTCAAACTCTGTAAATGTAAAAGTTACTCCAGAACATGTAACAGTGCTATCACCGTGGTCTCCACATGTCGAATCAGGGCCACTTATTTCAGCTTCGATTTGGTACGCGGTGTATTTCTCTAAAAGGACCTGTTGGTTGTCAAACAAGACTTTAAAACCAAAATAGTTAAATTTCCCCCCCTGTAAAAGCTCTGAGGAAAATTGCCCAGTTTTAGGCATGAAAACTGTTCTTTCAAACAATGACCTTACCACCAATTCTACCGTATAAGTATTATTCTCACTACCAAATAAGCACACTCCGAGTAGCTTGATATCTCTGTCTACGGAAAATTGGA